AAACTGCCCTGTCAATCATCTTGTCAAAGTTAACTTTATCCATATTTTGTTTAATTAAATTTCATACCGTATTGGAGAGAAATGAAGAGGCACATTAATCTGCCAGTTGCGGGTCTATCATGCAGAGAACTTTGCTCATATGTTTACATAATGATGCATCTAAAGTTAATGACCAAACGTATCTTTATAAAAGTTCACAGTATTGCTGCAGATGAAATCTAATGCTGATAACATTAAATAAATATTTTTTCAACACTTTTTATGCGTGTTTAGTTCTAATCGAATCCTCGTCCACCGCGCAATGTGTTGTGGGAAATATTAGCCATTAGAGTGTGCACGGATCTACACTTCGAATTTCTACAGGAAACAGTAAACCATCCGGGAATTTCTGGCATACTCCTTTCAACATACTACGATTTGGGACATACTAATTCTAATTTCGAATACTATTTAGGACGGATAGTTTGCGAATTGGGACGCAGCACTGTCTACAAAGACTGGACACGTCACGTGACAAAGCGACCGTTGCAAATCATTTGAATTTTGTGTTAGTACGTCATAGATAGAACGAGGCAGCAGTTTACTGCCTGGGATTTGTCGTGTCGCGCCGCATCACTGAATATAATAGGATCTATAGTATTTTGTTGCGTTGCGTCGCTCGCGGTGTAGACATGAGGTGCGTTCCGATTGACAGGGTCCCTACGCAGTGTTCACTGCTGTGCTACCTACTCCCTAAAGCACAGGATATCCGTTGAAGTGGACTTACTGACAAAAATCGCTCATTTGAAACGCCCTGGAACGTCATCATAGAAAGGCAATGACAGGGTCACGCAGATTATGATATAACATAAATAAATATTGTAATTTATTTTACTTCTAAATTTAAATACATATAAAATACATAGGCTATGCAATTATTATATAATAAATATAGTCAAAATTGATATGTTTAGACTGTTAACAGATTGTAGTGGTTTCATCTTGTGCGCTTTCAAGTAGCTAATTCACCTGAGGTAAATAAAGTAAAATAAAAAATGACAGAGCCTCAGCTGTTTCTCGCCAGTTTTTAATTAGCTTCACCTATTCATACAATACAATATGCAAATGTAACATTAATCGCCATAACCATTCACAAATACTCTAATTTGTATAATAATACATTTATTGCAACCACTCCATTGCAGAGTAATTTTTAAAATTTTTATTATTATTCAACGGCTCTGCTTTATCATAGTTCTGACTGGTAACGCGGTGCGCAATGACAGTTGGGTGATTTTCCCTCTCCACTTCCTGTGAAGTGATGTATCGATGTTCCCTTATTCCCAATGCCATTCGCAGTGACCTTCGAACTGAACACATTCGCTCCCTTCGGATTGGAATCTTACTAAGATGGCAGAATACCCTGTGAAATCCACTTCGCAGTCCACTTACGGTGGAATGGAACGCACCTACGGTGTTAGGCCCACCCCAAATGCTCAATTGGTTGAGAAGCATGATGACGCCCATCCAAAACCAGTACCAATCAACATCCCACCCTCCTGTGACCCATGGTTTGTCTGTCTCTGTATTCAGAGCCAGTGAGCAACGGACTTTCAAAATAATAATAATAATAATAATAATAAAAACTGCGTTAATGTGCGATAAAATAATTGTCGCTAATAATTAATGCGTTAACGCGAAAATAATGCATTAACTTGCCCAGCCCTATTATTATTTAAAAAACAGTGATAAATAGTATGGATGATGAGATGATAGGAAAGGGGCCCCCACACACTGTCTTTGCATAGGGCCCAAGAATTGGGGCTACGCCACTGCTTACACTGACTGTAAGCTGATGAGTTGATTTATCCATGTTTTAATAAGCCTCTGGTCATTAAGCGTTTTAGATGTATTCCAAGGCTTTTTAGGTCGGGTAGATTCTGTAATCTCTGACCCCGTTTGTTTGCTGGCTTCCATAGCTGCAATATGCTGTGTTCTCCGCCAGTTGGCAACCTGGGGAGTCTAAATACTATTGAGTAAATTGACAGTGGGCAGAATCACACAGACCAAAACAAAAACAGACATTTCAAAGTAGAATAACTAGCTGTAGTGCTGTTTTTTGGAGAAACAAGTATGTGAACTTAGCATGTTTCCTAAATATCTGCAAATGTATTATAGCATTTTATGCTTTGGTACAGTCAAAATTACATACAGCACCTTCAATAAATGCAAAATCTTCACTGCTTGATATTGATTTTTAAAGGGGTCATATGATGCGATTTAAATTTTTCCTTTCTCTTTGGAGTGTTACAAGCTCTTGGTGCATAAAGAAGAATCTGCAAACATATTATGGTATTTTTATGCTTTAGTACAGTAAACAAAAACAAAAAATTACATACAGCACATTTAAAGAACCCGCCTGTTGCGCACTATGAACAAAACAAAAAAAACTAGGTTGAGAGAATGTATTTTAACAGATTTTTTTCATCACCTTTAATGTTGGAGTTTGCCTTTCCACTGTTATGCAGATGATACTCAACTATATATCTCAACAAGACCAGATGAAACTTCGTTTTTTATCCGCCATCTCTTAACTCTCTGTCGCTCGGCTAATGTCCGTCCCATGCACTGAAAGCTCTGTCCTCCACATCACGAGTAGACACGCCCCTTATTGCTGATTGGCTACAAGTTTGTTTTGTTATTCGGCCCGAATCAGTTTTTTAAAGTGTTTTTGAAAAATCACATACCCTGCCTTTAACAGAATCTGAATTTATTTTTCCACACCGGAGAAACACCCGCTGGCTCAGCCTGCTGCAGTAGCCACGCCCTAATCTCTCGCTATTGACTGGCTGCTAATTTAAAAATATTTAAAGAAATATCAACTCCGTTTATAAAATATTTTATAAATATTTATTTTAACAAACCAGAAGATAGAAAGCAACATTCTTAACAAGTATAGATTTTGTCATAGTCCTCACAATATGTTATTGCAAAAGATAAAAAGAAATGTTTTGTTGCTGCACAGGATAATCAATCATTTATTTGCCCTGGCTCGAGTTATTGATGTAGAAATATTAAAGAGAGAGAGAGAGAGAGAGAGAGGTTTTGGGAATTTGGAAACCAATTTGGAAACCAAATTGGAAACCAATTTTGGGAAAATTGGAACAATCTGAAAAAAACTGATCATGAAGAATTGGCAATACAAAATGGAGAAATATGGGAAAGTCATTTCCAAACATTGTTTAATAAAGTACAAACAGACACAAACGATACAAACTATCAAACAATCAACCAACTGGAAAAACTAGAATTAGCAATCAAAGATAACCAAAACCCATAAAACCCATTAATAACTGATAAAGAAAATATCAAAAACCTCCAACTCAAAAAAGCATCTGGACCTGATGGGATATTAAACGAAATGATAAAACACACAAGCAGTAAATTCCAACTGGCCATTCTAAAACTATTCAATGTGCTTCTGAGTGTAGGTTACTTCCCTGACATCTGGAATCAAGGCTTGATAACACCAATCTTTAAAAACGGAGATAAATTTGATCCTAACAACTACAGAGGCATCTGTGTGAGCAGCAACCTGGGAAAGTTATTCTGTAGCATAATAAATGCTCGACTATTAGACTTCATCACCACACACAATGTACTGAGCAGAAGCCAAATCGGATTTTTACCAAATTACCGTACATCTGATCACATCTATACATTACATACTCTAATTGAAAAACATGTTAACCAAGATAAAGGTAAAATATATGCATGCTTTATTGACTTTAAAAAAGCTTTTGACTCAATTTGGCACCAAGGACTATTCTACAAACTTATTGAAAGTGGCATAGGAGGTAAAACCTATGACCTTATCAAATCAATGTACACTGAAAGTAAATGTGGCGTAAAAATCAGAACCAAGCGTAAGAGGTATCTTTCCCAAGAGCGTGGAGTGAGACAGGGCTGCTGCTTAAGCCCAATGTTATTTAACATTTACATCAATGAACTGGCGAGCAGTCTGGAGCGATCTGCAGCCCCTGGCCTCACCCTACACAACTCACAGATCAGATGCCTGCTGTATGCAGACGATCTGCTTCTGCTGTCTCCCACTCAACACGCTTTACAGCAGAACCTGGACCTGCTAGAGCAATACTGCCAGACCTGGGCCCTGACAGTCAACCTGAAGAAAACCAAAATTATGATCTTTCAGAAAAGATCCAGATCCCAGGGAACACAACACACATTTACATTAGGCACTAAGCAGATAACACACACATCACACTACAACTACCTGGGTTTGAAAATCACATCCACGGGAAACTTTAATCATGCTGTGAATGAACTGAGAGATAAAGCACGCAGGGCCTTCTACGCCATAAAACGGCAATGTCCTATAGAGATCCCTATTAGAATTTGGCTGAAAATATTAGAATCAGTAATTGAGCCCATTGCCCTCTATGGCAGTGAGGTGTGGGGTCCACTGACAAATCCAAATCAAGATTTCACCAAATGGGAAAAACATCCAATTGAGACCCTGCAGGCAGAACTCTGTAAAAATATATTACACGTGCACCGGCACACAACAAATAACGCATGCAGGGCAAAATTAGGCAAATATCCTCTAATCATAAAGATACAAAAAAGGGCAATTAAATTCTGGAAACATCTGAAGCTCAGTGACCCCCAATCATATCATTATAAAGCCCTGCAATACCAAGAGATGAGCAAAGAAAGCAAGCCCTTCCCTCAGCTGATCCAGAGCTTCAGTCCTGATGCTTCACTAACATCTACTGCTGCTCTGAATCACAACATCAGAATCAGTCAGATTACTGCACAAATCAAACAGAACTACATCACTCACTGGCAAACCCAAACACAACAACAGAGTAAAGTGCAATGCTATTTGGCCCTAAAGAGAGAGTACAGTATGGCAGAGTATCTGTACACAGTGTCAGATAAGAAACTGAGAAGCACGTTGACCAGATACAGACTCAGCGGACACAAGCTGATGATAGAGACGGGCAGACACAGAAAAACATGGCTGCCACCGGAGCAGAGACTGTGATCTGAATCAGATGGAAACAGAACTGCACTTCCTAACAGAATGCCCCAAATACACAGATATACGGACAGTGTTCTATGATAAAGTACAGCAGATCCATCAGACATTTAAAACTCTTTCAAACCAGGAGAAACTGCCGTATCTGTTAGGAGAACACAAGAACTGCTGTGTGTTTGCTGCTCAATATGTGTCTGCCTGTCACCATAGAAGAGAAAACACTCAACCTGCCCTGATCTGATGTTTCCAGCACATGTAGATTATATCATACCAAATTACTGTATTATATTACTTAGATGCATATTTTGCTTCTGTAAATATGTCTAATCCCTTATTTTATTTTTATTTCTAGTTTATATACTTACATACATTAGTAATTCATTACAAATACAGACTGAGTGATCACTGTCTGGCTATAGAGAGAGGACGACACAGACAGAGATGGCAGCCGCGAGAACAGAGACTGTGTTCACTGTGCTCACAGAAAGAGCTGGAAACAGAGCATTTCTTACTGCACTGTGATTACTATCACAACATTAGAGCTGCATATTTCCCCAAATTCCTACAAATTAAACCACATTTTATGGCATTACCAAATACAGAAAAATTAAGTAACATTTTAGGGGAAGATTCCAAAATGATCCCAACAGCAGCAAGATATGTATCAGCCTGTCACAAACTAAGACTGTCAGCCAGTGGACAAAACTGAAGCAAGAGCATTTCTTACATGTACTGTTGTGCAAT